CATCAGAAGAATGCATATGTTATCAATTGATGAAATCCAATCCCAACAAGGTTCCGTTTATATTTCAGTCTTTATTTATATTTTCTGTTTTTATCCGTGGTTCCTTTAACCTCTTTAACCAAACCTTTTGAACAATAAGCTTGGAAATATGGAAACCGTTGAACGGCGTTCAGGTCGTACTAATCCATGTGGAGACGACAAAACTGGGTACTTAATATTTTTTGCTTGCTACTATACCGCACCAACACTTAGCTTGTGAATAATATTCAAAGGTGATGTTGTGAAGGTTGGGTGAACATGTGTTTTCTCTCTTCCAAGGCCTTGATGACTTCGCCACTTGTTTTTCCTTATCGATCCTTTTAGGTCCCATTAATGGATAAAGATTGAGAAATTTTTAGAGTGAAGGTTTTGGGAAATTCGTGCTCGAAAATAGAATTGGGATGGTGGATAATGAAGTTTTTGTAAAGGTGATTTTGTGATGGAGGTTGGAATGAGGTTAAAGGTGAATGTTTTATATTTGGAAGGAATGGAATTTTTGAGAAGGAATGGAAGAAGTTTGGAGAATTTGGAGAAGATGAATGATTTGGAAAGAGAATGAATGATGGTAATGATGTTTACAAAAACCGATTTTGGTGTTTTAAATAGATTTAATAGGCGGTGATTGACTTAAATGGAGGTGTATGGGCCCCAAGAAAATTTTTAATTTTGAAAGGTTTTTTTTAAAAAAAAGTCTCCCTCCGTATTCCCTGCTACGGCTGCCCCTAGTAGGGTATTATTTCCCATACGATAATGAAGGGTTTTTAGGGTTTATGGGTTGGGGCTGCTACGAATGCCCATAACAAGCCTCTGGTTTTTCTATGGGGAGAGTTGTTTTCTTGAGTTTTTAGAGTTTTCTTTCAGGCACGATTACACGAATGATTTTTCTCAACTTTTTCCAACCATTGACACTTGTCTTGAATTGTTTTTATGAGCTTTTTTTATCAACTAAAAAAGAAATAAAAAAAATAAACAAATTAGTGTGAGTAAGCGTTGGTTTTCTTCCATGAAGCACTTTGTTTAATGTCGTTTAGCTCGACTAGGTATGACAATTTGGCCCATCCCCAGTGAGTACCTATAAAAATATCCACAATAGATAGGGTAAAAATTTGTAAAAATGGGTACGCGTTCGAGTAATTACCTACTTAAATAAGCGGGGATGGGTGCGGGTATGGGCACCTTAGTACCCACCCCGCCCCATACTCGCACAATATATATTTTAATTTATATTTGTTATATAAAAATAAATTTATATTAATTTTTTAAAAATACATCAGTTTTAAATTACTACATATTTAGTATAAGTGATCTCTTATTTCATAATTCAACAGTAAATTTTCTTTAAAATTTTTTAGTGTTGTTAAAAACTTAAAATAATATGATTTTTTATAAACTTGAAAATTTTATTTTTATAAAAAATATGGGTAATGAGTACAAGTACAAACACTTACATATCCATAGGATACGGGTACAAGTGTCAATTTTGGTACCCAATCGGGTATGGGATCGGATACGAGGATTCTTTCGAATTATGGATAAAGGGACGAGTACTATAATACCCTACCCAAACCCTGCCCATTGCCATCCCTAAGCTCGACCACTTACACCCTTAACTCAAAAGGGTGCTTCCTTCAAACTAGAATCCCTAACACATCTCTTAGCCATTGTTGGGACCCAATTACCTCTAGTCATCCATGTCATGCATCCTTCTTCCTTTTTTTCCTCCAACGCAGAGGCTCATACTTTTGATTCAATTTTTCACAGACTTTCTCTTTCACTCCCTTCTTTTCCTTATGCTTACTATTTTTTAAGCCCAAACATACCATATGGTTTTTGGGTTCATTACCTTTCGTAACAGACGCATCAAGGCCTTGGTTGGCGGGGATATGATTTTCCATAAGTCCTATCCATACCCATTAACTTTTGTATCAACCTTCTCAACCTTAGCGTCGTCGAGAAAATTCTCTTCCAACTTAGTGGTCAGAGGAGGTTTCAATGCGCTTTTTTTAACACATCCGGTTGACAAGTAAATCAAACAACAAGAATCCCTTAACAAAAGGTTCTTTAAAAAAAAATTCTAGAATAAATTCAGTCTTCTTCTCTCCTACCTCAAAGGTCAATTTCCCTCTCTTGACATCTATGATGACCCCCGCCGTAGCTAAGAAAGGCCTACCTAAAATTATTGAGATTTGACAATCTTCATTGATATCCATTATAACAAAGTCAACCGACATATAATGCTCAAACTCTCACCGAGACATCTTCTAGCACACCTATAGGATACTTAACTAATCAATCAGCAAGTTGCAAAGACACATTGGTAGGTTTCATATCTCCCATATCCAACTTCTTACACATGGACAAAGGCATCAAACTAACATTATATCCTGGATCACAAAACGCTCTCTCAAATGTCATGGTACCTATATGACAATGGATAGAGAAACTTCCCAGATCTTTGAGTTTAGAGATTACCATGTTTTGAATCACGACACTATTATCAAGGTCATGGCCAGAGTTTCATGGTCCTTTTGCTTTCTTTTATTAGAAAGAATCTCTTTTAAGAACTTAACATATGAGAGCATTGGAGTTAGTGCCTTAGTGAAATGCGCATTGAGGTGGATATTTTTTAGAAGTTCTAAGAACTTTTTGAATTGAGCCTCCATTTTGACTTTTACAAGCCTCTGTGAAAAAATAACAATAGATTTGTAGGGCGGAGGAGTAACATAGAGTGCTTCCTTCTCAACCTCCCTAACAACCTCTTTTTCAGGTGGTTGGCGGCACACTTTCTTCAACATATACCTCTCTTTCACTAGAACTACCTGTTTGCTTTCCACTATTCAAATGTCCTTTAGAATTTTGTTCGGATTGCCCCGAATATATATATATATATATATATATATATATATATATATATATATATATATATATATATATATATATATATATATATATATATATATATATATATATATATATATATATATATATATATATATATATATATAAGGCTAAATTAAAGTTTTCATCCTCCTATTTTGTCTGATTCAATATATTAGTTCTCCTATTTTAAATTCAAATAGTTTTATTTAAAATTTAACAGTTTTAGTCTTTCTATTTTAAATTCAATCAGTTTTAGTCTCTGTCTTAAACTTTTTCATAGAAAATCGATGAAAATTTTATTGTTTAACATATAATTTTATCTATAAAGTTTAATAATAGATTTATATATGATAATTTTTTATGTTTTATATGTAAATTGTTATTTAAAAAATGAAAACATAGTTAATTTTAAGTTCAAAAATATGAGAAAGAGACCGAAACTATTTAAATTTAAAATAGAGGAACCAAAAACTGTAATTAAGAATATATATATATATATATATATATATATATATATATATATATATATATATATATATATATATATATATATATATAGAGAAAAAAAAATCAACAAATAGAAAAAGTTCATATAGCTTGGTTTCATACTTCTCTTTCTTTTGTTTATAAAATAAAAACCCATATCTCTCCGGTAAAACGAAACCCTAATTCTCTTCAGCATTTGCAATTCTCTCTTACTTCAGTTCCCTCTCTGATCGATTCCCGCTCCAATCTTTCACTTCCTCCTCGCATCTCACGTTCTGTATTTCCGCAGCTGAATTTATTCTTCTCACACTAAAATTTCCGATCCTCGGCACTGTTCCTGGCACCGAAGGTAGCTCAATCTCATTCTTCCTCGTCACCGTTTTCCTATTATTGCTATTACTTCTATTGCATTGCATATTTTGCGAATTGAGTTTTTTCATCTTTGTTTCTTGCCGATTTTCTTACGTCTTTGTTTCCTGCCGATTTTCTGGCTTTTTTTCACGCCGATTTTAGTCTTAGATTTTTATAGTCTGAACTCTGAACTATTTGTGTATATTGCTTCTATAAGAGTGTGTTTTGTTCTTTTGCATTTGGTTCGGTGAATTTAGATACTAACATTTCATTTCTCTATGTTTTCCCCCTTTGTACAGGTTTCTACATTTTCGACATTCTTTGCTCCTTTTCTTAACTCTCTTGAGGTATACTCTTATTGCTTAAATTCCAATTAATTGGTATTGAATACTATTACGTTATGTTTTGTTTAGCTTTTGGTAGAGGGAAAAACAATTCTAGAGGGGTAGAATGGCTCATAGATTCTGCTTGATTCTACTTGAAGCTAGAATTTGTAGCTGTTTAGTTTAATGTGATTTTTACATTGAAATTTAATGTTCAGCTCAATTTTGCATAAACTTATTGAAAGATAATTCACTTTACATTGAATTCATTTTAACCGGAATTAATTTTACCGAATCAATTCACTCAAAATCATGTTTTTCCTCCGCAAAACCAAACATACACTAGGTTATATGTTTTATATTTTTTAATAGTTTAGTAGCATGTATGATTAAACGTATGTTCTGGAGGTCATTTATTCAATTTTCCCCATGAGCAAAATAACAACAAACATTTGCCAATAAAAAAATGTTTGCTCTTTCTGTTGTATTCAAGTTAAATTAGTGAAGCGTCTCATAAAAAAGCTAAATTAGTGAATCTAAGTTTCCTGCTAGAAGTTCAATATGATAGGTGATTAAGTATAGTTGATTAAAATATAAGCATTATATTGAATCTTGAATTGTCCTTGTTGGATACATAGAGAAGAAACTTTTTATGACTTGACATGTTAGTGCACTAAGAAACTAATGTGAAATGCAGCTGAAATTTTGCCAAATTAAAGACTCGAGATTAGATGACTAACTTTATTCAAAGTTAATAAGTGTCTTAAATGGGATGGGCCATGCCATGTATAAATTAAGGGAATTATGTATTGTTTGATTCATGGTTTATGGTTTTCATTATTAATATGATGTTTGCACACTGCCTTTACACATTATGTATGAAAAATTAGTTATGACAGTATTTTTGCAGCTGATCTGAAAATGGAAAGGCCGGCACATCGGGCATGGATGTATAATAGGCGTACTGTTGGTCGAAAAGGGTTTACACCTGAATTTTTGCAAGGCCTCAAAGAGTTTCTGAATTTTGCTTGTCAACAACCACAGTATTTGAATGAGGGTGTAATAAGTTGTCCGTGTAAGCTATGTAAAAATGAAAGGCGCCTAACTCCAAAGGGAGTGAATGCTCATGTTCGTCAGAAAGGGTTTACACCCAGATATTGGTATTGGACATCCCATGGAGAAGAAGTCCCTCAAATGAATTTTGATGTTGATATGGACTCAAACGCAATTCCTTACAGTAGTCAAGAAGATATTGGGTTTGATGATGCTGATCTTAATGACCAAAATTTTGTACAAAATGTAGGGGTGCCTCCAAATGTGGAAGCAACTGAAATGTATGATATGTTGAATTCAACTCATCAACCTTTACAGCCAGGGTACAGAAATACATCAAACTTGTCTGCCGCTATCACAATGATGAATTTACAATCTAAATACAACATGTCACAAGATTGTTTCAATGACGTGTTAAAGTTAATGGGGGAGTCAAACCACAACGGGAATGTAATTCCTTCAAATTCTAGGGATACAGAGAGAACAGTGCAGCCTGCTAAAATGTCAAGTAAAAAGAAACGTGCAGAAACCCATGCTCCCTTGATAATTCCTTCAAAGTCTAGCAATACAAAGAAAACTCTGCAGCCAACTAAAATGTTAAGAAAAAAGAAATCTGCACAAACCCGTGATCCATTGGCAAGGCCATCTGATACCCTTCAAACTTTTTCTAACCAAGCCACTCAACCTCCATCTCGAACTAAGCCTCGAACTAAACTTAAACGACCTCCACCCACTAAACCACTAAACTTTAGTACGCAACCCCAACCCTCTCAAGCACATCCTCAACTTCGCCCGCGACCCCAACCCACTCCACCCACTCAACCTCAACTTCTCCCGCGACCCCAGCCCACTCCATCCACTCAACCTCAACATCGCCCGCGACCCCAACCCACTCCTTCCACAAAACCTCAACATCGCCCGCGACCCCAACCCATTCCTTCCACTCAACCTCAACATCGCCCGCAACCCCAACCCACTCCGCCCACTCAACCTCAACTCCGCATGCAACCTCAACCCACTCCACCTCGACCTCAACCTCAACCTGTGACACCTCAATCTGAACCAAACCCTGTCATATCTCCAACCATTCCTGCCCAAGTCCTTCAATGGCAAGAATTTTCAACAGTCAACTTAAATCAGAACAAAATCCCTATACTTCCAGAAGGAGACGGGTGAGTCCTGTTAACAGCTTAACATATGAGTCGTTATTATAATGTTTTTGTGATTAATTTTTATTGTTTTACACAGGTTTGATCAACACACGTTGGTAGTGAAGGCAATTGGTTCAATCATACGTACTTACTTGGCTGAGGGAATACCATCATGGAAGCAGATACCTAAAAAGCAACGAGATTCGTGGTTTGATATATTTAAAGTAATCAAATTTCAATCTTTGATTAAATTGTTTTGATATTAGTTAAAAAATATGTATTGTAATATTTCTTTTGTTTGTCAAAATCAATGTAGTCAATGTTTACATGGCCACCTGAACATAAAGACCTGGTACGACGTAACTTTGAGAAAAGGGGTTCAGCTAAAATGATTCAATTAATGCAAGATGCTAGAAGAAATTCAGATCACAAACCAATTTGGATGGAAGAGTGCGTGTGGGCACAGTTGAAGGCACATTGGGAATCCTCAAAATACAAGACAATATCTGAAATAAATAAAAGAAATTCTGAGTCTATGGCTGACGCATCTCTTCACACTGGTGGATCAATTCCTCATCGCTTGCATTGGAAGCGAATGGTATCATTAGTGTGTACTATTATGTTTTGTATTTAGTTTTAAATAATTTTAATAACATTAAAAAGTATTTTTTATCAATTACAGAAGGAGGCAAATGGGACAGATCCATCCATGGCTGAGTTTTATTTTCGTACGCACCGAAAGAAGGATCAAAGTTGGGTGGGTCCATCTGCGGAGTCTGCTTATGTAAGTTCCATCTTTTTTCTAATAGACATATTTGACATTTTCTATACTAACTCTGGATTCTGGTACACATGCATATGGGATTTATATATCTGTTTTGCTGGAATCAATATATGTTGTCAATTTTAATTTTCTCATTCAGTGATTTGGCTCGACAGATTTTACATATTAAGGACATAGAAATGATCTCAGACTATAAAAACACACCGGCATAGTCCGGGTAGTTGAGTATATTTATGAAACTAATGAGATGGCTGTAATATTGTTCTTATTAATATCATTTCTATATATATTATTGCGGTTTTACCATCTTCATCACATATAAATGATATTGTGTTATATGAGATAAACATTTGATTTAATTTCTGTTATCGATGTTTAATGTTTTTTCTAAATAACAAATGTTAGTAGTTTAGTTAGCGTATTATGTTAGCGGAGAGAGTTGAATTTAAGACCTCTTTATCATTTCATTGCCATGTCCTCCACCCAAACCAACTTTTCCATCAGTGCTGTGATTCACTTCTTTTTTTTGTCATTCTCTTGTTGCCCGACTTTCGATGCTTCTTAAACTAATTGGTTCTATCTTGTCATTTTTTTAGTAGTTATTTATCTATTTTCTGATGGATTAAATGTGATGCAGAAGAAATTTGAACAAAGAAAATTGGAATTATCTTCCCATCTTGATTCAGGAGAGAATAGTGGCGATAATCAACAACCCATAGGAATGCCATCTGACCTGGATATATGGGTAGATTCAATTGGACATAAAAAGGGAAGGGTGTTTGGTCTCGGATCTGTTACCAAAACATTGGTTCCATCTGTTAGGCCTCCTGGAAATTCAGGAGATGTCAATGCTTTAAGAAGTCAGATTCATGCACTTAACGAGTCGTTGCATAAACAGGAACAAGAGAAGCTAGAAATGAAACAAGAGTTAACTGAGACTAGAAAACAAGTAGCAGCTTTAATGCAACATCTAGGATTTGCTGGCTCTTCTTCTCGTCCATTTTCAGTATCTCAAAACAGCAATGATACTGATAATGGTGATGATGGTACTGATGATGATGATGGTGGTGATGATATGGAGTAGGACTGCATCTGTTTTTTAGGACTTTAGTTAGTTAAGTTTTTGCATATGTTTTTCTTGACTTAAGTTAGTATAACTTTTTGATACAAAAGTGTTATGTGATATGTCTCATGTATTGCTCGGATGCTTTATACCTGCCAATTTACCTGTGAAATTTCTTGTGAATTCGTTTCAAACTCGCATCTAAAATCCTGTTCATCAGTTTAATTAATTTCTCAATGACTTAGGCCTATTTCTAATTCTGACTTCAATTAATTGATTTCTTATGTCATGTTTGATTAATTTCTCTCTGACTTATCCCATTAATGTCTTTACACCTAACTATGCATTTTTACTTTATTAATTGATTTCTTAAATTCTACTAATCAATTAATCAAACACTTTCTTAACTAATTAATTTATCTGAACTCACGAATCAGTTGCTTTTAACATGATTACTAGTTGTAGCCATTTAGAAAATTTTGCCTATGCGTCAGATCGAACCCACATACACAGTCAAAAGAATCATCAATCCTATCATTAAGAGGGTTTTACTTGGCACATTTCTACTTTTTTTTTTTTTTTCTCGTTATATATGTTTTACTTGGCACATTTCCAAAATATCTCATAAAACAAAAGTCTGAAACATTTTTATCGGTATTTTTAAAAAATCCGATGCGTATAAAATTTTTATTGTACATTTCAAAAATCTGTTTGAATCAGTTTGCCTTTATATATATATATATATATATATATATATAGGTAGAAAAATCCATAGGTAATTTGTTTTCATAATAAATTTTGCAAGTAAAAGTCAAACACTTTAAATATTAAAAAAATGAATTTGTATCAGATTTTTCTTAAAAATTTTTTTAGTAAAAGTGTGGATATTTTGAACATTTTGATAAAATATATAAAACCAAATAATAATCTTTTAAAAATTAAAAATTATATAATTTGAAACTTGCAGAAATATCCGCAAGTAATATATTTCTGCAGCAAATTCGACAAGTAAAAAAACTCAAACACTTAAAATATTATAAAATATAGTTCTTTTACTGGATTTTTAAAAGATATGACACCCAGTATATTATCGGATATTTTTAAAATTTTCGATAAAAATTAATAAAATTAGGTATCAATCTTTAAATTTTTTTTAAAAAATGCATAAATTTCATATAATTCAAAATGGTTGGAAAATCCGCAGGTGATGTATTTTTGCAACAAATTTTATAGTTAAAAATCAAAACACTTAAAAAATTCATATTTTTTTGTAAAATCCGACACTCCCATTCAAAATACCAGATAATTTAAAACTTTTCGATAAGTTCTTTAAATTAAAGGGCATTATGATCAAATCAACATTATGAGGGATATCAGATTCAACGAAATGGGTGCCAGATAAAATTCCCCTTCATTAACCACACATAGTCATTTGCTCATTGATATTTTTAATAAAACAAATTATTAAAAAAAGAAGACAAAGGACAAAAAGGAAAAGGGTTAGGTCAACCCTCTATAAAAAAGAAGTGAATATAAAGTTAAGTCGATATAACTTTTTGTTATCTATGTTTTTGCAAATAATATGTGGCATGTAAATGTCATACCCCAAACTTATCCTATTTGTGTATAATTTTCATCTGTACATCTACCCACTAACCATTATTTAGAAAATCCAAAAAATATGTTTAGGATGAATTAAATCGAAGCAAGTTTCATTTGAGGTTCACCAGGTCAAGTGTGTGCAGTAATGGTTGAGGTTCAGTAAAATTTGACTTGAGCTTGGTCAGAGTGGAATTGATTCAGTTACAAGTGTGTATCAAGTTATCAAGCTATGTTGAATTCAGATGTGTCATACTGGAAAATCACATAGAATCAGTTCCTCGCAAATTAGGGTTCTTGGTGCAATTCATATTCATATAAGTCATATTCCTCTGATTTCACTGTTCTAAGACCTTAATACATTTGAAGATTCAAACTACTTCATGTTCATTTTGTCAAGATTAGTTCAAGGATTAGTAAAATGTAGTGGCGATTTAAGTTCACTTCAGGTGTGCATTTGTGGTTTTAAGACGAGATTTCATTTTCATGGTTCAAATTCACTGTCCATTTTCCGCTATTTGTTATCCATCCTTCATATCCATTTCAAAGTCCATGTTACTCACAAAAAGTTTATCAAAGTCCATGTTACTCACAAAAAGTTTATCAATTTCTAAACTTAGTCCAATACAAGGCACATCATCATCTTTTTGAACTTAGAAGCCCATTACCATTTTCATGCCAAATTTTTTTTAAAAAAAAATAGAGAAAAATACTCATTCAAAAGCCCATCACAATTAATTGCAAAATGTCACAAGTGCATAAATATAAAAAAAAGCCATTTTTTACAATTGATGAAGCCATGTCCTTTTACAATAAAAATTACCAAAAGTCCATCATTGTTTTCTTTTCATTACCATTCTTAAATACATACACACAAAAAGAATCATTTTTATTTTTTTTTAGAAGCCCATTAACCTTTGAACCCATCACAATGATTCAAAAAAATTTAAAAAAAGAAGCCCAGTTACATTTACAACAAAAGTGCAAAAATGTGTAAGAGATCATGAAGCACCACACGACCCACATCATGGAAACGTAAGCTTCAGCACAACAACAAAAATTTGTCACAACAGTTTATGGTGTTGCTATCCCTCTTGTTTAGTGAACCGTGTTTTTTCTGTGAACATTGCCTTGCTCTTGTTTGGTATTGAAATAAAAACATTGGTATTTTGATTTCCAAACAATCCTTTATGTTGTTGTCGTGAGCTTTGTAATCCCTAGATGTTTTTTGTTCACCTCTTTTCTTTTTCTTAGTCTTTATTTCTCTCTCTCTTTTTTTTTTTTTTTTTTTTTTTTTTTACATTAATTATTTATTTATTTATTTATTTAATTTATTTGAGAGAGGTTTTTTTTTCTTTGATTTGTTCTTTGAAATTTGTTTAAGCTTTTCTTGATGTTTATCTTATTCCATTTTGATTTTTCTTTCTCTTTTCGTTTCAATTTCATTTTCCATCTCATTTTTGGTCGATGAAGTCTTTTATTTTAAATCATAAATGTCAATTATTGAGGTTGTCTAACCTTCATTATTTCAAATCTATAGTGAATGATCATTGAGATTATTTTCTATACTTTAGGATCGTAATAGGTTTACCTTCAATTAATCAACGCAAGTTTGTTATTAAGACGATACTATCCTCTTTTCTTTTTGTGTGGCACGATTTCTTTGAGAATGATTCACAATATCATTTCTCTATCGTGTTTTGGCATAAATATCATCTTGCGCGACCTCCTATAATATGATCTTCGTCATAGATCGTGCTACAATAGTTTAGCGATATAGTCGGCTCAATTCATTCAATAACGATTAACCACTAACTTTAATTATTGTCAGTATACTCTTTCTTTAATTTTCGTCGATATATCTTGTTCATAATATATCTTGATCTTATTATCATTGTTCACATACTATTGTTAATATTATCTTGATTATTGATATAATCTTGTCATATTTATCATATTGTTTATATCATATTCATATTATTCATATCTTGTTCACACTATTTGAAAACACAATAAAACGATCGAAATCCTAAAAGCCTAAATTGGCGGACTGTGGTTACTTTTCTGAGCAACGGAACTTTCACTTTGTACAGAAACCCTAACAAAGGAGATTTTGTTCGACTCTTGCTCATAGTTTAGTTTAGGACACTTCTCTCTCTCACACACACACACAACTTCCTCTTGGGCTACCTTACAATGAACCCTTTTATTTCGTACAATCCCGTGTAACTTACATGTACCCCGCTACCATTCTGATGTACGCATTTGTTTTGCTTTGGTTATGGTTTGTTTACTAGGAGCACCCCTAGGGACTAACATAGACTAAACCATTTTCAAAACAATTCTCGATTCGTCGACGAGCTATTTTCAAACACCTTATGTAAGTCGATTGCTCGTACGCATCGTCCTTAATCTAACACACACACACTCGTATATTTCATTGTGGTTTCGTTACTAGGAGCACTCATAGGGACTAGGGTCGATTCTCACCACTTTTTCAAACAAACCCTTGATTCAACATCAAGTGGCATTTTCATATCAACTTGTAAGTCGAGCGCCTTTTGCCTCGCAATCAATCTCTTCGCGCACAACCAAACCCTTGATCCTACGTCAAACGGGTTTTCACAATCAAACTTCAAAACGATTAACAACTATCGAAACTCTTTTCAAGGTGAAAAAGATGGGTATTGAGCCTTTTATCTCTCTTTAGTTGTTTGGGTACAGGTTCTCTTACTCGTGTTTGACCAATTGACGTCTCTAAAACATTTCCAACTCGATGATATTCAAACTATCTTCCAACCTTTCGTCGTTCAAAATATTTTTCAAACACAACCTCTTTTCAAGATGAAAGAGAGAGAGAGAGAGAGAAAGAGTCAAGCCTTTGAATCATTCTCTCAATTACTTAGGGCCGAAGAGCCTTTCTTAAGCTTCGAATAATCGTCATCTAAACCAAACTTCAACACCCTTTCTTTTCGTGGTCGTATCCACGAACTACAGACGCTCTGCTTCTTCATTCATTCGAATGTAAGATACGTAGGCACAATATTGCGATGATCTTGGCAAGCACACTTCCATATTTTTTTGTCATTCCGAGTTCACACTTCTATTCATCTTCTGTTTTCCCCCTTTCCAAACCTTTCCAATCCTTGGCGAGAACCCTAACCTAAAACCACCCATTTCCCTCTTAGCATTGTTAACCTTTTATCATACCCGTTTCACAATTATTATTAAGAAGAAAACAAATAAGATTAGCTAACGTTCATCACAATTTGAATTAAGAGGTTCTTGTTGAGTACAACAGACGTAGAGGGTGCTAATACCTTCCTCTTACGTAACCTAATCCCGAACCCATAATGTGGTTGCGACGACCATGTTCTTATCTCTCTTAAATATTTTTTCGATATTTTCCTTCCCCTCTTTTG